AGTGCATAAGAAATGTATACAAAATAGTTTTAAACACACTGTGTCTTATAGTACCCAAAATTATCACAAAGCCTCAATAAAGAAAAATGACATCTAAATTGCTCACATTCAGCAAGCCAGTTTAGTTAGTGGACAATGTAGATATTTGAGTTAGCATAAATATAATAGACGAGACTCAGCAATTTTCATGTTGTGGTAAGTAGCTCTTCACCTACTTCTTGGTTATGTTTTCATTTCTCAATCCCACCTGCATCCTAATAACACAGATGTCATTACTCTGAGGTACCATTTCTGCTAGTAGTATAAGACAGCAAAGTTTCTGTAATAAATGATGTCATCTGCCCTGAGGGAGATGATTGCCAGTGACTTCACTCCCACCCTCCTTCACTCTCTGATTCCTTTACTCACTCACTCATTCACTTACTCCCTCCCTCTCTCCTTCCCTTCCTCCCCTCACCTCCCTCCATCATTTACTGTCTCACTCCTTTCACTCACTCCCTCACACACAACCTCATTCCTTTTAAGTGTTCTTACATTCTTGTTCACCTTCTCCCTTCCTTCTTTTCTTTTTACCCTCATTACCTGCCCCATTAACTTCCTCATCCCTCACTCACTTTTTCTGTATTAGTTAATACTTTGGGTTGCAGTTGATGGAACCCATCTCAATTCAGGAAGACCTGTTACAAGAGGCACCTCTCAGAATGTCTATGCCACTGAGTAGGTTTACTAGTAGTTGGGCTTCAGGAACAATTGGAACCAACAACTTGACTACCACCATGGTTTGTTCTCTTTGTGTGCATCTTTTCTATTTTTCTTTTTTTGAGACAGGGTCTTGCTCTGTTGTTCAGGCTGGGGTGCAGTGGCATTATTATGGCTCAAGTGATTCTCCCACTTCAGCCTGCCGAGTAGTGCCTGCAGGCTGGTCTCTAACTTGTGGGCTCAAGTAATCTTCCTGCCTTGGCCTCTGAAAATGTTGGGTTTACAGGGGTGAGCCACTGTTCCTGGCTTTCTGTGCACTTCTGATTCACCCTTATCACGTTCTCTGCAGACCAGCCTCATCTTCTTGATCTATGTGGCAAAGTGGTTGTAGTCCAATGATTTGGAAGAGATACAGTGACGTAGCTTGGATCAGATGCCCATCTTGGGTCAGTCAGCTATGGTCAGGAGTGTTTGATCATGTAGAGACATGGTTGCTGATATGGCTGGAGTGAGGAGATGAGCATGGAAGGATTATGCTGAGCACAGAGTTCCGGAGACATCCACATACCCATCCTGCCATCTTCGGCAGGTGGCTCTTGGCTGGGAATACAGAAGAACCCTCTAAACTGCGGCCAAGTAGAGGGGACAGATGTGCAACCAAATAAGTGTAAGAGAGTGATATTGTTTCTATAGTAATGGAGGTCAATGTTAAGAATAAAGAACAGGCAGGCAGTTAGGTTAGGTCAGACACAGCTAGCATCTGCAAGCAGTGATGGCTAACAGGCCTTCTGTAGATACATGAACCAATCAGATGGTTAGATATTCTGGGTCTAGAGATAGCCTTGGCATTTTCTAACCACAAATACTGTGTTCTTTTTTTATTAAGAGACCTCTTCATCAGAGTGCCTTTTAAAATTATTTGTTAAGTTTTATTTACAAAAGAAGAATGAAGGACACCTTAACATATTTTTGATTTTCAACAACTTGTCATGTTTTAGAGAATTCAGATGATCTAAGTTTTAGTTCCTTTGATAGTTCTCTAAACTGTTTTTAAAAGACTTCTAACAAAACCAATCATCAATTTGTTTTATAGCTCATATGGCTATATCCTGCTTTTGTTAATCACAGATTCCTTGGTTGTAAGTTGAAGATTTTCTCTCATTCTTTGTTAAAGGACCTGGGAGGCTTTGCCTTAGTCCCCACTGTTGCTGCAGTAGTGGTCTGCAACCTAGCCAGATGTGGGTTTATGTTTAGCTTCCTTTAGTTTGCTCTTTTTCAGGCAGTGCATACCAGTCCTTTTTCCATCTCCTATTACATTGGGCGGGCTTTCCTTGTCTTCTTCCACAAATCCTCATCCTTTCAGTATGGGTGTGTTAGGCTGAAAACAGCTTGCTCCAATCTCACTATTCTTGGCCTTGCCCTTCACATCCATACTTTACCAGAACTTTTCAATGTCTGTCATGTCTTCTTTTCAAAGATAAGACTTCTTTTTCCAGTTACATGTAGTTTTACACAGCTATAAGAATTAATATAGACAGATTTCTTGTACCCTTTATCAAGTGTCTCTCAGTGGTAACATCATCTTACAGAACTGTTGCATATTGCAACCAGGATATTGGCATTGATACAGTCAAGATATAGAACAATTACCCTAATGTTTGGCACATAGATTCCTTCTCATTTTTTTTTCTTTACTCATCTTTTTTTTTTCCTCAAGTTTTTTTTTTTTTTTTTTTTTTTTTTTTTTTTTTTTTTTTTTTTTTTTTTTTTTTTTTTTTACTTTAGGTTCTGGGGTACATGTGCAGATCATGCAGGATTGTTGCATAGGTACACACATGGCAAGGTGGTTTGCTGCTTCCATCCCCCCGTCACCTGTATCTGGCATTTTTCCCTATGTTGTCTCTCCCCAAACTCCCCAACCCCTCTTACTCATCTCTTACACTCTTCTTCCCTTAGTCTTCTAACTTGTAGGTTCATTGATCCAGGGATTAGTTAACTCAAGGATCCTACAGGTTTTACCTTCTTTTCGATAGGTTGGCTAAAACCTCAGGTTGTCAGTTTCTAGGGGTAGTAACTGTTCTCTTCATCTTGAAATGATTTGCTCAGGGTGGTCTTAAAATTCATTTGAGGGCCTGGCTTTCTGTGAGTTCTGCCTGCCTTCATTTCAGACAGGTCACATGAAGATGAAGAGTGTGTGGGGGCTGGTATGGTACTAATCCTTTAAGACTCAAGAGCCCTAATCAAAGGTAATTTTCCCCTAAAAGGACAGTTCTGCACAGAGGATGTGGATGAATGCCTGCTGCAGCCCAANGCCTGTCAGAATGGTGGCACCTGTGCCAACCGCAATGGAGGGTTTGGCTGTGTGTGTGTCAATGGCTGGAGTGGAGATGACTGCAGTGAGAACATTGATGACTGTGCCTTCGCCTCCTGTACTCCAGGCTCTACCTGCATTGACCGTGTGGCCTCCTTCTCTTGCATGTGCCCAGAGGGGAAAGCAGGTAAGGTTAACAGAGGACGGAGCTGGAAACAGGGAAGGGGCAATACCTTTCATCCCAATAGCTGTGTTCTTTGAGTTACCATCTGTGGGAATATGTCACTCAGGACTCTTCCAGAAATGTAATCTGCTAGCCAAAGTGCTATGAAGATAGTCTTCCTCCTTAGGACTTCAGGCTCTCTTCTTAGCTCTACATACCTTAGTTTTTCATTCCAAAAAAGGAAAGCTAGTAACTATTGTCTTTGGAGCATCTGCTGAAGTCCTTAAGATCTTACACTGAAAAACCCCTCAGCTGCTAAGAGAAAGTGACTAATAAATGGATCCACAGGCTTCATATTATGAAGAAACAATCTATTTACTCAGAAGAAGTTGTAAGGAGAGAAACATTTAAGTGCCTTCTAACCCTCAAGTCTATGAAAATACTCCTCTCAGGGAAGATTTTTACATGCTACAAAGTTAACATTGCTCTAGCTACTAGTTCAAGGAGAAGGAGAGCAATGTAAGGGGGAAGGTGATGGGAAAAGATAATTTAGCTGGAAGAACTTTCTGCCCGGCAGTTTTGAAATGTTCTTTGATGGATGCCTTTTCCAAAAGCCTTAGCACCAGCTTTGTGGAAGAAGCCTTAGTTACCTGTTCTTAAGTTAATTGCAGACTGGAAAAGCCAGTGAACTATATAAAACAGGAAGCCTAGTCATATCTTCAGAGACCTGGGGCCACCTGAATCAGGAATGTTGATGCTATTAAAAGGCTACTCTAGTGAAGGCTGATGATGTTCATGTGGCCCCATGATCATCAGGTAGCATAATATTGGGGAAGTAGGATTCCAGATAAAATATGGGATGTATGGAATATTTGAGACATACTAAAAATTATTTCTTGTTTATCTAAAATTCAACTGGACATCTAATTTTACTTGCTAAATCTGGCACACTATCTGGAAGATGGTTCCATTTTCCTGTCTCCCTCTTCTTCTTTTCTGGCCTATAGATGTCTCTGCCCTGGAGGAGCGGTCTAGCTGAGGGCTTAGGGCCAGAGCTCTAGGGTTGTGGTTAGGTGCTTTGATGGCGGCCAAGCGTGTCCCCAAGGTAGGTCAGGCAAAGCAGAAGTTGCCTATTAATCTCCATGTTGGATTCTGAGGAACCGATCATGAGGTTTTCCCTCCTTGGTGAAAGAGAAAGCTTTTCCCCAAGTGAGAGACATTTTCTCTTGGTTCTTCTTTGCTCCACCCTGTGACAGGTCTCCTATGTCATCTGGATGATGCATGCATCAGCAATCCTTGCCACAAGGGGGCACTGTGTGACACCAACCCCCTGAATGGGCAGTATATTTGCACTTGCCCGCAAGGCTACAAAGGGGCTGACTGCACAGAAGATGTGGATGAGTGTGCCATGGGTGAGTACCCAGAACTTATTCTATTCCGTGGAGTGTCTGTTGAGCTCAGCAAATGTTTAAACTGAAGCACATTTTACTGTAGGAGCAAGTTACACCCAAACCTCAGATATCTCTTGCTACATGCACAGCGTTTACAACTAAGCTTTCAGTATAACCATAACCATAACCATATATTCTATTCTGGGGATTAAATGTATGAAAGGTGTGTACTTGATTCTCAATATAAAGCCCTACCTCAGTGACAGTTTGGGCAAAAACTGCAATAGCAGAAATGCATGACAGTTGAGAATACTCTGTTTTTCTTTCTTTTTAAATTAAGAGGAAAAAAATAAAAAATTGGGAATGATATTATTAAATGCCTGGCCCTGATGCTATAATCATCAGATCCTCTTCTATCATCCACATTTGTGGAAACTCAAGTGCTTTGATCCCGGTAATTGGTACTCCTGTCTTTCAGCCAACAGCAATCCTTGTGAGCATGCAGGAAAATGTGTGAACACAGAAGGTGGCTTCCACTGTGAGTGCCTGAAGGGTTATTCAGGACCTCGTTGTGAGATGGACATCAATGAGTGCCATTCAGACCCTTGCCAGAATGATGCTACCTGTTTGGATAAGATTGGAGGCTTCACATGTCTCTGCATGCCAGGTAAATGAGCCCATCAGTGTGTGGGGTCTAGAGAGGGGGGACTGCTCTGAACTTCTCTTGGTAGAGCATTCAGTATACTATTGCAGTCTCATGAGCTCTATCAGCATTTAATTTCCTGTGCTGACTGGGGACTAGAGAAAGCCAGGGTTCACAAGCAAACTTTCCTTACTTGAGGAATAAGGCAGTGCTAGAGTTCATCAAGCTATGTAGGCCAAATTAAACAAGCCTGTTATATCAAAATCCACATACATATAATAGAAATTTTCAAAAAAAATTTCTATTTTTTGAAAACTAGCAAGCTTTTATGATACCTTAATATAATTATAAATACCATACTATTCCATTTACAGAAGTAAATTTTATCCACAATTATATAAGAAGTTTCCATTTATCTAAAGTGCACCACATGTTTAGTTGTATTCTGGAGCTCTTCTGCAGAGACCACGTCTTGATTCCTCAGAGGATACAGCCAAGTCCACCTTGAAATGATGGCTAACATTGGCTGCTCTGCCTGATTAAAGCTGCCAGCAACTCCAGCCTTGGAAGGCACTCCTGACCTCGACCTGCACCCTGAAGGCAACAGCAGCTCCA